TCCACTTTTATTTATTTAATTTCAATATCATGTTAAGCTAGTTTTATATGTGCAAGGATTTACGATGAACCTCGCATTTTGGTCTTTTAATTATTTATTCTGCAATTTGATATTCAAACACGTTTGATGGATGTTGAATGATTTATATACACTTTCTTACCTCCATAATTAAATACGTGTGATTATGTGAGTTTGGGTGGTTTATTTTATGCATTCGAAAGAAGGGAAATAAACTCAATAAGGTATAAATCATCGTTTTGTTTATAGATGATAGAAATATACCGATATGCATTACGTGAATATTTAAGTGTTTATTGCATTTGTCATAGAAATATAGTCAAATGGTACGCTAGAATAAGTTCAATTATACTCGAAAGAGATTGTTGGATAAGTTAGAAATATTGATTCTTCAACAAATTCATCGAGTTATTAAATTGTGAAATAAATGTTAAAAGTGAACTCGCTTGATGAATCGGAATTCTAGTACGCTTTTTCTATATTATTTTCTCCAAACTTTTGCATTCAACCATTATTTTGCATTTAGTTTAATTAATTTATCCATTATTTTTTGCATTTAGTTTAGTTACAANTTGCATTCGTAGTATAATTTAGACAAGTTTACTCTTCAATCATCTCCTTGATTTTACTTAGTTTTGGTTAAGGTCGAAATAATCAAAATTTGAACTAACTCAATCCTCGTGGGAACGATACTTGGACTTCAAAACTCATTTATTACTTGAACGATCCGTACACTTGCGGTAATCAAAGTCGAATACATTTTCGACTTGTCAAGTTTTTGTTCGCAACACAGTATTCATCCCAGCGGATTTAACAGTCTTATTTCTGACAGGTAAACACTTTCACTTCAAAATTAATCAACTCATGACTGCACAATAAAAAAATTAAATTGACATTTCGAATATTCCAGAGTTATTGCTTGAATATAGCGATATATATCAACTACCTTGGCAGCTTGAATTAAAGCAGATCGACAACATATATTAAAGCAATGACGTGTTAAGGAAACAAATTCAAATCCCAATAATCATGGTTAGCTGCATTAGGAAACAATTGAGATTTGAATGGTTAGTCGCGTGGAGAATATCATACCAGGAATGGTGGAGCCTTCAAGCAAAATTACATGCGTCAAAGATTGCATTAATAGTAGCACTAACAAACTTTGATAGCTCCTATACTAATGCATATGATTGTAATTAGAAGGCAGTACATATTGTTCGTGCAAAACCCGCAAGCGTACATGATCGTTGACAAGTAATAGAATTGATGAGTTAAGAGTTATCGTCCCACATGGAATAAATTCAATTCAAATTTACTAGTTATGTATGGAATTCAAATTGTGTAAAGAAAATAGATATTTTAATTTGATTTTATGCTAAATTAATCTAAGAAACAGTAAAAATGTGGTTTTATCAATTTATGGATGATTGTATTAGATCTAGAATTTGCCTATTGTTATCTATTTTAATTCTTGGTTTGTAATCTAATTTTGCTCATGCATTCTTGACAATCGATAAAACTATGATATATAATTTTCTTTTCCAAGACAAATTAAATCTATTATAACCACGACCCGAATCTATTCCTAGCCCAAATTCGAATAATTAGAATGCATTAAAGTTTAGATTATCTATATAATTGCACATGTAATAAATGTTATTCCTAACATCTATTGCACATATGCTAATTTTATCGTGTTCTAAACTTATTGTGAGTCTCCCAACACTACAATAAGCAACTAATTATCTAATTGGTGGCCAATCAATTAAATAATGTAATGGGTATGCAAAATTAATCAAGGAATACAAGAAATAAACTAAACTACTAGTCTTGAAGTAAAACAAATAATCAAACAGGGTTCATCTTTATCCATACAAAAGAGGATCTAGCCTAACATGTTAATATATAAATTACAAGAAGAATACTAGAAAAATATCACCCGAATCATGAAATAAATCAAAACATGTTGATCTTCACGCCCAAGGTTGAGTTCTTCAAAATCTTGATGTAATTGATCTTCAATTCCTTGCTAGGCTTGATCTCTTCTATCAAAACATAGCAATTGACCTCTTGTTCTTGATGAATTTGATAAAACTATGGTGTATGAAGAGGCAAGAGAGGTTTTTCTTATGTGTATCCCTCGTTTTCTATTTACAAGAGCCAGAAAATATGTCAAAATCGCATCCAATTTGGTTTCCAAAAGAGTTTGAATCGCAAAAGGAAACTAAAGATTCGTTTGCAAAAAAAAGCATGTGTGCGCACATCGTTCGTTAGTTTTAGGCTCGGTAAGTAAAATTCATGCCCGTGCACGCGATAGAGAATTTGCCTGCGCGCGCAGGTTTGTCTCTGAACAGCGTTCGGTATTTTGGTTATAACTTTCTCCACAGGTATCGATTGAGTTGATTCAAAATGAGTTGGAAAGATAATTCAAAGGGATACAATTCGTCTTGAAATAAAAATTGTCCAATTCGGACGATTGCTATCCGAAACATGGGTCTCAAGTTATGACTAAAAATCCAGAGCATAACTTTTTCGGCTGGAAATTGAT